AAAATATATTAAAAATAAGAAAACCAAAATATTATTTAAATCAATAAAAAAATAATTTTTTATGATATTTTTGAAAAAATTTTATACAAATTGAGACTTGATTGAAACTTGGAAGACAAGATTATGAACCTAGACACTTTTATGATTTTTCTCAATATTGTGATTGATTTTGGTGATTAATAAAAATTGATTTTGAAAGATTTTAATTATTTTTAACATCTTGACTATTATGTGTATAAAATCAAAGATTTAAAAAATTAAAAAAAAATAATTTTAAAATACTCTTAAAATAGAAAATGAAAATAATAATAAAAATAATTTAAAAATGACTTTTTTATCTTTTTTATTACAAAAAACACACAAGAATATAAATATCAAAAAATAATGTAATGGGACTTGAACTCAAGACCTTCCACTTAGAAACCTTACTCTCTTACCAATTATGTTATGTCATTCTATTCGAGATAAAAAGGCACATAGAAGCATATGAAGGTGGGAAAATATTATGTTATTTTAAAAATATAAATAATTTAAAGTAAATTATTATATATTTTAAATAAGAAAAAATAAATTATTGTTAAACCTAATGTGATCAATACTCAAAAAATTTCTGAAACCAAGTTTAAAAATAATTTGAATATTTTAAAATAAGACGGACACCTTTTGGGGTATGACAATATTCAGAGAATCGAAGAGTGGTCAAGCTTGAGTACCTTCACTTGACACGGAAGGAAACATAAAGTTCACCCGATTTGAGCTCAAGAACGACGACGATTTAGAGGTTATGTAGGGTACTTTTCAATGATACTCTTCTAAGAGTCCGATTGAGGTGGGGTGTGAAGCTTCAAAGATCAGGAGAAGATATTATCAAGTTGCAACGTCATCAACTACCCGTTTATAACAATATATAATTTTAAATTTTTGTAGAGCTATTTATGTAATTTCGATGAATTATGTTGAATCTATGTTATGAATTATGTTGATTTTTCTGTCCCAGAAATAAATTATGATATGCATATCTGAAATAGACAATCAGGTGGCTTCAGATATGCATATGTGAAGTAAATTTAATAAAAAAAATAATTTGTTAATGCGGTTCGGATATACACATCCGAATTCTGAGAGTATTTTGAATTTTTCTCCAGAGACTTGCAAGAAGGCAACAAGGTGGAGAAAGAAATTCTCTTTAAGATATCACAAGTTAGCCTTCTTACAAGTGGTTGTTTGTATCTGCATCAATACAATACTACTCATAAAAATATTGCTAACGAATGAGTTTAATTGGTGTGTTTGAAGGTGAATAAAATTGATTTTAACATAATTGAGTTTGGTAAAATAGATTTTAAAAAGAATTGAGTTTTGCAGAATTGATTTTTATTTAGACATATTTATGTAAAAGTGAGTTGAGTAATAAATTTCAATATAAAATTCACTCGGAATCAATTTTGAAGGTAAAAGTTACAAATTCTAATTTTAAGTAGAATTAATTATAAACACGGAATTAATTTTATTTTTGATAAAACAAACACTTCAAAAATCACCTAATATCAATTCTACGCCTCTAAAATTAATCGAATCTTCCAAAAACAAATTCAAAGATGCTATAAGTGTCTAACGTTAGAGTCTATTTTAAAATATAGGAATCAATCCATCATGCAGCAAGTCACAAATTGATTGAAATTGTAACTTAGAGATGAAGCTTCCGTTACAAATCTCTTTCATCCAGCAAAGTTCCACCAACATACTCGTGATCAATCATAAATAACTAGTTTCCCTACAACTTTAGCCTTTTACATTGTGGTCCAATACACAGTTTTTTTATAAACATTATTCCACAAGTGCACATAACAGGAAATGAGGAAAAGTAAATAAGACATGGAAAAACCAACCCAATTGTAGAACAAATAAAAACTAGAATTAATGAATATAAATAAGATAAATGTCCCAAATGTATATCAGTTTATCAATGATTAGAATTCTAACAGCGCCTCCAAAAAATAAAATAACTTTTCTAGTATTTTCTACATTTAGATAGAGAAAAGTGACATCTCAGTTAATAGAGAAAAGTAGCAGTTTGTTAGCAAGGACCATCAATGTGAAGAAGTTGTTTTTTTTCATTCTAAGCTCCGAAACCCTCAAGAGAAGCCAACCATTGTTCCATGTAACTCTTCCCATCTGCATAAACAATCAGAATTTCAAAATTATTACTATATACTATTGGATAACATATAACTTATATAGTCTCTTATATAGTCTCTTAAAAGATGGGTTTGAGGGTAGATAGTGTCGCATATAGTACGATAGATCAATGGCTGAAAATCATTGCAAACTCTAACAACTGATAATACTTTTAACCTCAGGGATGAGCTAGTGACTCAAAACTCAACTTATTTTCTTCTTTTTTTAATCTCGAATAAACACCGATCATGTTGTTGTGTCGGCCATAAGAACGTGAAGAACCCTGATCATCTACTTAAAGATGGTGATAATGACTGATGTCAGTGGTCATCAAAATTTGAGTGATTTTCAAACATTGCTTCAATATAGACCACATGAAACACTTTCCTAGTCTAACAACAGGCCTCGTAAAATGCATCAGAAAACTGTATTAAAGAAAAGGGAAACAAATGATGGAACTACTAATATCATTAATTTAATTCTACTTTCCCAAAGTAACAAGCTGAAATTCCTGGGTAGTTCTTGTGCTCGATAGTCAACAAAGGGAAAGCAACCCAAAAAACAAGCAATAAATAAGAGGAAAAAAAGTGAGTGTGTGTGTGATGCTATTGACAAAGTTGTCATTGCCAAGTTTGGAATCAATTCCTTTAGTTAAATTCATTTTAATATTGAATTGAGAGGACCTTAAGTCAAATTATGAACTTCCTTTAGTGCATAAACCTTTCTCACTGTCATAAAAGTAACACTTTAAAATTGATTGTCAAACCAAAACCTCAACCATAGACCTATATTATATCTGAATACAGTTAGAATTCCCTAGGAGGAGGAAAAACAAGCCAGATTAGTCCTAGAAACTAGAACAAGAAAGAGACAATGAAGAAGCCATGCCAACAGATGGGCCAAACAATAAAATGAAGCCTCAAAATCATTCTACTTTTTAGTTAACCATTAATTTTCATGGGCCAATAAGCATAACAGAAAATAAGTAAACAGACATTTTTGTGTGTAATTCTTTAGTTCCCGGGAAAAGATGACTATGGTAATTCAAAGTTCGGCCGAGAGATAAGTAAAGTCCGACCAAGAAATTTTTAACCCAGGATTTACCAAAGGACTATGAAGTATGGACACAGATATGGACACCGGACATGACACCGACCCTGACACATCGATACGCCTTTTTTCAGAGGTGCAGTGCTACAGAGCCAAAGGATTCATCTTTACCAAGTTTGAACTTTTTTAATTTTGGTAAGTCAACATGTAGCTAGAACACCAACATATTCAATAACCAAAATGATCATTTACTCAAATAACAAATTCCATTGATTCAAAGAAAATACTAACAATTCAAATAACAAGCATTACCTGAAGCAAATTCAATGGGGAGATTCTTAAGAGCACTCAAAAGCACATTGTTTGTTCCTTCAAGCTCTTCGCAGCCAGGTGAATAACAAGGAACCAAAACAGCAAAACTATCACGACCAGACTCATCATCATCATCACTGCTTTCAAAATCAGAACTAAGAGGCTCCAACCACCCAATAGACCAATCCGAGTCATCGGATTCCGAATCAGACAAAAAACACCAATCGCTACTATCATCAGATGCCACAAACACACCATCAAACTCTCCATCAATTCCCGTCTCTTCCCTTTTGTCCTGCCTTTTCCTTCTAACCTTCCTATGCGGCCGTGGCTGTAGAACCTTCTTGTTTTCCTTCACCAAACCAAGATTCCATTCCGAATTTGTTGACGCATTCAGACAAGCGCCATGAGAAACTGACTCTTCCTCTTTTTTCCTTCTGCCACCACCACCACCCCACATGTTCCATGATAAGAAAGGGTTTAATGACACAGCCATGCCTTCAAAAAGGCTCTAACTTTAAAGTGAAGAAAGCTTTAAAGAAAGTTGAAATGATGAGTGGTTCCTGCCAGTTGCAGTGACACCACTGTATTAGAAAAACTATCAATGGAAAATGGGGTATAAAATATAAATAATATATAAATTCAACCCAAAAGAACATCATCAAAAATGATCAAATCCACTTAGTGTAAAAATTTAATTAATTAAAAAGAAAAAGCAAAACCAAGTATTGATAATCTAAAAATAGGATTCAACAGTTGCAGTAAACTTTTTTTTTTAACTTTCCTTAAATATCTAAAGAAATTAACAAAGTTAGGCCAAACCCAAAGAAAACTATTTGCTAATCAAGTCATCACCAAATTTTCTTAATCTAAATTAACTAGAAACCCATTAAAATTTCTAATAGTAGTAATAAAAAATAATAATAATTAAAGGAAAAAAAGGAAATTTTTAACTTTGCAGAATTCCGTAAACCAACTTGATCATAACTGCCAAAAATTGTTTCTTCAAACACATCACATTGACATTCACAGAAACTCCCAAAAAAGTATACAGAAAGTTCATTACTTTATTATTATAATAGGAAATTCATAGTTTTATATTTAATTTCATGTAAAATATCCAAAAATCAATAATAAAGAACTGAATCAAGGCCTATTGAAAATTCAAGACCTTTGAAGTTCAAAACTCATTCAGAAAATTGAATAATCATATTACATTCTTCTTCTGGTATGAACTGAATAACTGGGAAAAAATGGCAGAAAAATTGGGGGAAAGTGATAGGAGAAAGTGAAAAATATGCGGTGAGAATGTATGTATGAAAAAGTGAGTTGAGTTTAGAACCCTAACTCGGTAACTCACTGTTAAGTCAAGTCACTCCATGGTTATGTTTCAGTTTCTGAGGTGTAGTGAAGAAGACAGCGTCAAAACTCCTTTTTCTTTTAAATTTTAGAGTGAAGACTTAGTCACTGAGGGAATAAAAACCCTATTTACAAATTTAAATAGAAACCCACCAAAAGTACCATTCCATCCCCACTTTACTTTTTAATATTTTTGTTATATATTTTTCCTATTTATTTTTATATTATTTTTGCACATTTCAATTTTATTTCTCAATAAAAAATTCTTTGAGCTTATTGTATTCTATGTATACATTTGGAATCAATGTTTTAAAAATTAAATCGAAGATTGAACCGTTAAAATTTTCGATTCAAGATTTATTTGATTCAATCGATTAAATTTACGGTTAAATTATTTATTTAATAAATTAATAATATAAAACTAAATTTTATAGATAAGTCACATAATCATAAATTTATAAATTAATAAAATAAATATTTTAAAAATCTATTACAAATTTAATACTATGAAATCAATAATAAACACAATTATGTAATATAATAGTACGTTTAAAAAAATAAAATTATAATATAGTGTTATAACTTAGAAATGTGTGTTGTTGTTTTTTAAAGAAAAGTTTTTTTTTTTGAAGTGGGAATATTTTATATATAACATTATTTATTTTCAATTTTTTTATAAAAAATACTAAAATTGGCCAATCACAGACATTTCTTTGAATCGAACAATTTTACAGAATTAGCTCCGATTCTTTGGTTCGTATGATTTTGAGCGATTCAACTTGGTTTTTTTTATTTTACTTTGATTTTGACCCACATGCGGTTTAACAAGGCTAACCAAACCAAAGTCACATCTGATTCCTGGTCCAACCGATTGAACTTGACGGTTCGATTCAGTTTTTAAAATATTTCTTGGAACTATTAAAATAGGATATTTGAAGCTAAACAAACTTGTCTTAAAGAGTCTTAAGCATTATAAGATGAGGTAAAAAAAACTCTATTTTTATATAAATTTAGAATATATTATTCGAGTCAGATCTATATGAGCTATTCGAGTTTAAATATTTTTTATATAAAAAATAAAATACAAAATATAATAATTTTTTATAATACATAAGATATATTATTTTTAAATATTGAGTACTGGTTAAAAAGTATAGATTTAGGCGCTCTCTCACAACAACGTGGAATTCAAGGCCTTAGTAAATATATTATGATGTATGGTGGTTAAAGTTTGTACAGTACAAGACAAGTCATGTACGGTGGTGTTTTGTAGTTGTGTAGAGGCTATGTTATTGAGTGGTATGCTTAGGTATAAACGTATATAGGGTATGATTGAAGAGAAAAATAGCAAGTGTACTATTTTCACCGATGTAGTAATAATAGGGAAAATTCTTCGAATGTCGATCTCAAGGACTGCGTATAAATATGGAGTTCGGATTGTTGTTCAATTAAACAAAAACTAGAGTTAGGGTTTGATTTTCTAAAATAAAATAATTATGAATAAAATAAATAGATGCGAATGAATATTTTGACATATATGAGTAACATGTTAGGGAAGAGGTATGATTTGTCCTGTAACTACCTTGAATCCTGATCTCTTCAACAAGTTCATAACATTCAATTACCATCCCTTTAGGTTATCTTCCCCTAAGTCCATAGTGGGAAAACCTTTGAACCGTGATATATACTATAGCCTAATCGTACAAAAATCTTAACAACTGTGGTTAGCTGATTGTTAACCGTAAATCAATCCTAATTTATCCAATCAGGAAAGCATAAAAACATTGTACTACTAAATTGAATAGAGAAGACTATTGTATTAAAGAAATTCAGGAATCAGAATCATTTACAGAGTCAAATCAGGGACATCCCCTAGCATTGGAGGGTTTAGCTACTCATATTGTTCAAAATAATCACAAGATAAAAATTCGACATTACAGGTAATTGGATAGCTTTAATCTTCAATTACTTCCGCTCATGAGAATCTTCCGCTCTCCAAGAACCTTGATCTCCCCAATCTTCAGTCGTGTGAATTATACTTCGCTGCCAAAAATTCCTGGAATTCATTGTGAAAAATCCTCTAAATAGCAAACACTCACTTAGGTCGGTTGGAAATACCAAAAATGCCCCTCTGTGTCACAAATAGTGAAAAATAAGGAAAACATGAAAAATCAGCGTAATTAGCCAAAACGGCCCGTGTGAGGCGACACGACCGCCCGTGTTAGCCCTCTGGTATTTAATTTCTTTAATCAACTCCCGACATGCTGACACAATACAATAAAATAACTTAAAGGACCCCTAGTATATTTTTGCCTAGTTTTTATGTTTAAAATTTGGAGACATCATCTTTTTGTTCCAGATTTGAGGTGTTCAGTGATCACAAAAGCTTAAAATATCTATTCAGACAAAAAGAATTGAATATGAGGCAAAGAAGATGACTTGAATTTCTAAAGGATTGTAATTTTAGTTTAATTTACCATCCTGGTAACGCTAATGTGGTAGATGATACATTGAGTAGGAAGTCTTTTCACATCTTAATGCTTATGGTTCGAGAGTTTGAATTGATTGAGAAATTTAGAGATATGAGTTTAGTATGTGAAAATACTCCTATCAGTGTGAAGTTGAGTATGTTGAAACTGGGCAATGGTATTCTTGATGAGATTCAGAGGCAAAGTTTGTGGTCCAGATGTGCTTAAACTTAGGAAGAGTATTTTTTAGGAAGGACACTGTGGTAAGCTAAGTATTCATCCAGGTGCGACCAAAATGTATCAAGATGTGAAGAAGATGTTTTGGTGGCCAGGGATGAAGAGAGATGTTATTGAGTTTGTGTACGTGTTCTTTACTTTCTAGAAGTCAAGGATTGAACATCAGAAGTCGTCGGGTCTAATGGAGTAATTGAATATTCTAGAATAGAAATTGGATAGCATTTACATAGACTTTGTAATAGGTTTACCGAAGACTTCGAAAGGATGTGGTTCCATTTGGGTGATTGTTGATAGATTGACCAAATCAGTTCATTTTATACCAATAAGGATCAATTGATCTTTGCAGAAGCTAGCCAAATTGCATATTAATGAGATTGTGAAACTTTATGGTATCCTTCGAGTATTGTGTTAGATAGAGGCCTGAGATTTACATCAAGGTTCTAGGAGAGTTTGCATGTAGCTTTTGGTACTAATCTGAAGTTGAGTTATGCTTATCATCCACAGACGGGCGGTCAGACAGAGAGGATCATCCAATCGTTGGAAGATTTGTTGAGGGCTAATGTTCTAGAACAAGGAGACACTTGGGATATCTACTTGTCATTGATTGAGTTTACCTACAACAACAATTTTCATTCTACTATTAGAATGACACTGTACGAGACATTGTATGATAAGAGGTGTAAAAATCATTTGTATTAGTTTGAGTCAGGAAAGAGCGTTGTTCTCGAGCCTGAAATTATTTAGTAGACGAGTGAGAAGATCAAGATAATCTGAGAGAGGATGAAAGTGTCACAGAGTCGTCTAAAAAGTTACCATGATAAGAGTAGGAAAACAATTGAGTTTCAAGAGGGAGATCACGTAATTTTTAGAGTTACAACAGTAATTGGTGTTGGTCGAGCTTTGAAGTCTCTAAAGCTCACGCCGCATTTGGCTGGTTTATACTAGATCATGGGAAGGATAGGAGAAGTGCCCTATTATATGGCTTTGTTACTGCCACTTGCTAATCTTCATGATGTGTTTCACGTTTCTCAGTTGAGGAGATACATTCTTGTAACAACAATAAGTGTTTCTACATCTGACCTTAGGTTTTGATGATAACATTACATGATATCATTAAGAAAAATTGTATACTTTAATTGTTTCATTCTAGTGTGTAGTTGCTGCTATAATTTTCTAAATCTAGTATCAAGGTGTATGACGTCATCAGGTTATGAACATAGACACTACTAGAAGAAAACATATGGTTACATGTTACAGTTAAAGTCAAGATTTTGAATACATCTTATGCAACGTGACTAAGGAACGTTAGTACAAGAGGTTCTGATCGTGACTTAGTGGTTAACCTTTGGAGGCCTTATAAAGCTTTGCTTCTGTGTGTTACAAGTTCTGAAGATTATGAATACGAGGTTCTGCTTAACAAGTTCTGATGATC